TTCCAAATACTTGATAAATGGTAACAAATCAATCAGCCAAACAAAATGCATTCAATCTGTTGATCAATCAATCAGTTAATTAGACAATCAATCAATCAGTCAATTAATTAGTTAATCAAGCAATCAAACAATTGATAAATTAATCAATTAGTCAGTCAATCATTCAATCAAACATCAACCAATTAGTCAGTCAGTCAATTAGTTAGTCAATCACTTAATCAATCAATTACAGTACACTGTAGTCAATCAATCAATCAATTGATCTGTCAATCATTCAATCAATTCATCAACCAATTAGTCAGTCAGTCAATTATTTAGTCAATCACTTAATCAATCAATTAGTCAATCAATCAATCAATTGGTCTGTCAATCATTCAATCAATTCATCAACCAATTAGTCAGTCAGTCAATTAGTTAGTCATTCACTTAATCAATCAATTAGTAAATCAATCAATCAATTGGCTTGTCAATCATTCACCAATCATTCATTCATTCATTGATTATTTCCTTTTCTCTACTGCTAGCTGTGTCTAATCCCCAACAAAAGAATACTTCTACAAGCCAWTGGTGCTTTGTCCAACCTGGCTCTAGACTTTAGGTACAGGCCAAGGATTGGATTCCTTGGTGGGATCAAGATTTTATTAAGTAAGTGTCAACAAGACCATCAGGGGCTGGAAATAATGACCAGTCACAAGGAGGTCATGTTATTTTGCTGGTAATTGTTGATTTTTGAAAAGGCCAAAAACGTTTCTTACAACAGGCGGCCATTCATGGAATAAATTTGAAATACTGTAAATTACCATAAAAAATTATGGCTTGTAAAAACTCAGCAGCCCTGTTCGCGGTTASAAAACAAGTTGTGCAAGGAACCTGTACATCAAACCCAGAATGGGGCAGCAACCAAAAGGTTATCCTTTTTTTTAGCATTTTGTAATGTCAGAAAAATATGTTTTGTTGGGGAAAAGTCATAACTTTGAGTTGATATAACTTGACACTCTTATTCATTTGAGGACTTAAGCAAACATGTTGCCCGCTTTGGTTTTAACTGCAAAAAGGTCAATTCAGTTTATTGAATAGAAGTAAATAGCCTTTTTTGCATTTAAAAGCAAAGTGAGGGAATAACAGGCAACATGTTTACTTCAAATGAACAAGAATACCAAGTCATTAACGAAARCTGTTTTCTTGCAGACCTTTGTTTACAACAGGGAAATGATGAAGATGTGATGATGGCTGTCGTTGGTGCAATCCAGAGTGTCATGGTAGGCAGTACTATCAATCGTTCCCGGGCTCTTGAAGCACAAGGGCTTGGTATTYTGATGCATGTATACTCAAGTGCCAATAAAGATGAATTAAGAGACAGGACTCTGAGAGCRCTSAAGAATCTCATTGGAAAACAAAGGTAAGAATATTGTATGTGATTTTTTTTCTTTTTCTTTTGGAGGATTCAAATACTTATTGACTATTGTTTCTTCAGTAWGTTCTTTCTTCTTTTTCAATTTTCTCTCTTTTTCGTGTTTTTATTTCCTTTTTCTCTTACTTCCTGTCTTTCTTTGTATTTTCCCTTCTGTTTTCTCTTCACTTTTCTCAATTTTTTATTCTTTTATATTTTCACTTCTCTTATTACATTTTTTAGTTACTCTCATTTTTTAACTTTCACTTACTTAGTCTTCTATCTTCTTTTTACTTCCTTATTTTGCTTTAATTAATAACCCTATCTTTGTACAACGTTCAAAAACAACAACAATCTTTATTACATACTTTTCTTTTCAAAGAAGAAAACAATAAAAAATAAATAAAACTTCATTTCTCCCATTTTTCACTTTCTCTCTCCTTTTGCTTAGTGGGGATCCTAGTGAAAGYTCATTGCAAACTCCCAAAAAGACATTAGACTTGAGATCTGTCATGGATGTATGTCCCACAAAACAGGTAAAGCAACCCTCGCATGATTCTACATGTAAAACTAWGGTGAATAATGGATGAACCGGCAAAAAAAACAATGACTTTCGCGCAATCTTGAATTATATAGATATTTTCAGAAATATATGTAACGTAGCACACAAGTCTAAAATGATATTAGATATAAGAATCGAGCTGCGATTTTGAGACCAACCAATAATTCCAGAATCCAAGACAGACAAAATTCACTTGAAAACAATACTACAAGCCTTATACAAGAACTGAGAAATCCGAGTTTTGGCATTTTTTGCCAGGGTGTATTTGAATGTAGCGTTTGCCCTACTAAATAATATAGACTAATAATTAAAGTTAGTATTTTGTTTTTATTTTTTTCCTGTTTCTAGAGTAAATTTTCGTTGTCAATAGCACCTGATGATGGTTACAGACGTGGCACCGATAGACCACACCCCACCGACATTGAACGGAGTCGACGGAGAAGGTAAATGTTCAAAACCAATGTGATGCTACTTGGCGAAAATAATACTTTTTTATTTTATTTGTTACATTTGCGGTTAATCAGTCTTTTATTTTACTTTGTATCAATTTGGACCTTGTGGCACTGAGCACGCTGTCACATAAAGACAGCGTTCATCCGCTTTAGTGCGACAARTGGAATCTAAATTAGTGCAGATAACGCTGAAGAGCTGGTCAAAAATGAAAATTTTATTTTAACTGGTCACATTTCTATTTATAAACCGTTCGTTTCCCCCTAAAAATTTCTTCCATGTTTAGAGCTAGAAGAGGTAGAAGTCTGGTAGACCCCAAGCCTACTCAAATCGCTATGTCCGTGGAGGCCTTGAACAAGCAGTCAAGTGATTTATCAAGCTCAGAGTCTGACACTGATTCAGATGAACGGTACGCAGGGAGGTGGACTAGTGAGACTGATGTTGATACTGATGGAGAAATGCTGATCAAGGACAGCAGAACTGCAAAAATCCCTAGCTATACAAAGGTAAGGAACTTTAGATAAGAAAAAGAATTATCCTATTTGTAGCACGTCTGATGCTCGGTTAACTGATCCCCACGAGCAACGGGGAATGAACACATTATAGCCAGGGATTTAACATTACTTAATATATAATTACTGAGGCACGCAGCATTCGTAGGTATAATGCAGGCTGAGCCTTGCTGCCTGCATTATGAAACATAATGTCCCACACGCATTGTAGCTAAAGTTTATCATAAAACTGATAATTTCTAAATGGGTGCTGGGTCTTTGTAAGGACTGATAAGTAGTTTCTTAAAAAAACTCTGTCAGACTTTAAGTCTGCAAGCCATCCTGCAAGACCTTCAATATTGCTGTCTGTTTTGAAGCGGACAGCAAATTTTGAAATCTTAAACTGTCGGAAATATCATTTCCAGCGTTTTGAGGCGTTATACTAGACATATTTCTGACCGCTAAATATAAAGCCGCACACACGGTCACACGATATTCAATAAAATCCCAAAGACTTCGCAAAAAAGCTTCAATTTTAATTTTTCATGCTCAGTTTTTACACAATCTTTATAGAATGAAAAGTAAAATTAAAGGAGACTCTTCACGTCTTTATTTAAGAAAATTCAAAATGGTGGACAAATTATTGGGGTGGGGGGGCTGTAGCTCCCCAGCCCCCCTGCTCTGCGGTCCCTGAAACTGCTTTTAGGAATAATTTGTAGGGACTCTAAAGAGCGCGCTGATCACAATTCCCAACATGCTTTGCTGCACAAAATGGTGTCGCCTCACATTGCCGATCGACTGGTACCTAATGACTTCTCCGTCGTCTTGCTTTTACTTGTATGGCAATGAAATCATTACTGGGTAATAATTATATGATTTCGGGATGTAACGTATTGAATTTTTCAAGCTTTTTTTTATCGATTTTCTAGCTGGCCGAAACTCTTGCAAGTGAAAGGTACTATGTCCAGACGCACTACATGTCTTTCACAGAGGACGAAACTTGTGAATTCAGGTAATTTAAATCATACTTTAGAGCGGATTTCGTATGAGTGGGATACCGTTACCGCACGGTTACCGCACAGTTACCGCACCTGGCCTGCAGAATTTTGGTGAAACAATGGGGCACTAGAATTTGGTTACAGTACGATTACGGACACAGTACAGTACCGTCCGTTTCCCACTCGTACGATCGAAATCCGCTCTATATAATATAAAACCAATTTATAAGATATTTCATCCTAGTCTTTTTGGTTTTCCTGGGGCAAAAAAAGTGAAAAATCTGAAGAAAAAAAATCTGAAATCTTATAAAGGAAAAAAGGCTGAATGATTGAAAATRTTTTGAATTCAGTTCACAGACAAATGTGCACGATATATCCAAGAGAAAAATATCAAAGTAAGTTCATGCAATATTTAGATATTCATTGCTTCTTCAAATTCATCATGTTTTCTTCTAAAAGGTGTTTGACTTCCAAATACTATGAAAACCACACTTATGTGATAGTTTTTCCTAATAAAAGATTGTTATTATTATTATTACTGTGAACATTCATGGTGATTCGAAGACCGAAATGCATTGTTGGTTGTTTTGTCGCCGTTAAAAGGGTTTCATTGTTTCAGAGTGACTCTTCCTGCACTGTACACTTAAAGAATCACAACCAACCGTCGTACCGAAGCGCCATTTTAGGTGGACACGAAAATGGCGGATTCGTTGTATTTCTTAAAGTGAGCGCGAATCGTCTTCCATCCTTTCAGTTTGGACAGAAATACCTTTTTAAAACTAAGTACCTCACAGGTACTATCAATATATAATCTATTGTATGCTTGTCGCATGCATTTAAACGTATGTAAACAATAACAAAAGCACACGCTGTGTCATGGTTGGTTAGGATTCTTTAAAGGGCCACTTACATGAGATCGTTTGCTTTGTTTTTGTTTTTTTAAGATCTGTTGATGAAAGTCGCAGTGCATATCAGCGATTTTTTGTATGTGAAAAATGGCGCAAAGGCTCACGGATGCGCGTGGGTTTTAAAATCATCGGATGAAAACGAAGCTAGCTTAGAATTGCCATTTTGTAAACACAGATAACGTGGAATCTAAAGGCCCACGTGCATTCAAGAACCTTTGCGACCGTATATTTTGTTTTGCAAATCTCTTGTTGAAAGATGCTTTGTGATTGGTTCAAAATCTAAGATGATTTATAAGTGAAGCCTTAGCTGCTATTTGTAAGATCCATATCAAGCAATTGCTTCGGAGCAAAATTCATTCGTTTGCCAAAATTTTGCGGACCTCCATATACGGTAAACTTACCTTATAAAGAAGTACGTGTGAATTTTTTTTTTCTTTTTCCGCCTTTTAGTGCTTTGAAATGGCTAAAACTTACAGCATTTATAGGGAAATTACTCTTCAACATGTCGGCCATTGTAAATTTGAAAGTAAGGGATCCCACAAAAAAAAAAAAACACACGTAGCCCCCTGTTATCCAATTGTTTGATAAGTCTGTGCAGTGATTCCAAGCTTTTGCAGTTTACAGCATCATCCGGGAATCTGGAAAATTGGATGCACGTGGTCCTTAAATGGCAACAATGCATTGCGAACTCCAGTTTCACTATATTCAGAATGCAATGCTTTTTGAACAAACTCTATAAATCATTCTTTGACAAATAGCTTTCGCCGAGACTTCAAAAAATCTTGTAAMAKCYATAAACTTTACAAATGTAAATCACTCCAACATAATGATTTTCGTACGTACAGGCCAGGGACTACCAAGAATAGTGAAAACTAGTTTCGTTTATTAAAACCTCTTCAGTTCACTATATGTTTTACAACAGTTTATAAATCATTCGTTTTGTATTTATACACAGAACACTCTGCGCATTCCTTAATAACAAGAAATGTGGAAACATCTATATTGGTGTTCGGAATAATGGCGAAATATGTGGTGTTCGGGTCAAGAGAAAAGAGGTTAGCAAAATAGACATTTTATTTTTCTTTGTTGTTTATTATCTGATTAATAAATTATTGTATGGTTTTCGAAATTCTGAGCTCCTTTACACCTGGAGTTCTGTCTGGTTTATCATTGATTCTCGTGAGATTCAAAAAATAAAATACCGGCGGCCATGTTGGAGGAATGAACAATATTTTTTTTTTAATTTTTTTATCGTCTAATCTACACTATTCTTATCAATATTACTAGTCGAGATTATTAAGTAACTGGTTGTGTTTTTGATTTTCCACAGCGTGATCTTCTGCGYTTGGGTTTAGACGAGATGGTAGAAAACTTCAAACCTTCTTTGAAACATGACATGTACAAGGTGCGTAGCAGGTGGCAACTCTTAAAAACCAGAAGTACAAAACTGCAAAAACTTAAAGTGCAACTGAACTCAATTGTTTCCAAAGATAAGGAAAACAACCATGGAAAAATAAAAAGTTTAAAGAGCCTGTTTTTTACTGAAACGTACTTTCTGATTGGTTCAGAACAAAGGTGGCAAATTTTCGTATATTATTAAATCGCGTAAATGTTGCGAGTAAATGTTGAGTGCACGTGGGCTTTT